GGTGGGGGGGGGATTGGATCGGATCGCTGGATGTTGTCTGATTGTGTTCTGTTTTGATGGTACACACTCAGGTTATGGGCTTCTGCGGGTTTGCCGAGGTTTCGGCTCAGCCGGTGCGTTTGTGACCCGGAAGCTGAAGTCCGTTCTGTGGTTGGCAGTGTGTTCTCCAGGTCGATTTAAATTCAGACTCCAGCATGCTTGTCTTTGTCTCTTACTTTCTCCTTTCCCTCACATCAGTGTGTTTTTTGGCTTATTAGACTTTTGCATATATTTGACTTGATCAATTTTCAAGCACAGTGAACCCACTTCTGTCTGAAGACAAATCATTTTAACCAGCACTTCCTTTCTTAGCTTCTCGGCTCTGGTGGTTGGAGTCCATCCATCTCTGTTTCTGATTCTTTGACTAATAATTCTCTTCCCTAAACCATTTAAACCTGTCAGTGTGGCACGTGGACTAACTTTCACTTCATATAACTTCCTCTTCTGCTCTTACACATGTGCTCTGAACAGGGAAAGCAGCGACTGGCGCCTTCTGGTGGCTGGGAACAGGATGGTATCAGCTGGTAGCACTCATGTCTCTGATCAACGTCTTTCTTCTCACCAGGTAAAAGTTTGAAGTGTTTAATCCTTAACATAAATATTGTTTTTCTGTTTGTTTGTTTTTATGCACTATAATCATGTGATTTCTTTTTTTTTTTTTTGCAAATATTGTGACTCGTGTGCATATGATAAATGTTGTTTTTGAGAGTATTTCCTCTGTCTGTCAGGTGTCTGCCCAAACTACTGAAGCTTCTTCTGTTTCTGCTACCCTTACTTCTGCTGTTCGGTGAGATTTTAATTGGACTGATTTGTAATACTGCCATTGAAGGAATATTAATAATTAATGTTAAAGGAATAAAACAAGTAGTTTAATTTAAGCATCTGTGAGATGCTGTATTAATGAACAAAAACACTTTTGCAGTGATTTACATAAGCATGTACTTTTGTTACATGCACTTATCTAAAGTAGTCTATAGGTTTTTAAAAAAAAAAACTTCTTTGAGCTGTCAAGACTAAACTGTCCTTTTGAAGGTGGAGTTCTTTCAAATGGAGCTTTTCCACTGCATGGTACGGCTCGGTACGGTTCACTTTTGGGGGGTTTTCCACTGGGTACAGTACCTGGTACTTTTTTTTAGTACCACCTCGGTTGGGGTTCCAAGTGAACCGTACCGTTACCAAAACGTGACGTGTAAACTCTGCTGATCACGGATTGGCCGGAGAGAATCGTCACTACATGCGTCACTGAACTTGCGACACAAACACAACAGAACCGCTAGATTTAAATCAGCTAAACTGTAGTTGAAACGCAAGCCGAGCTGTACCACGCAGTGGAAAAGCGCCATAAGTGATTTTTAGAGATCCTGTCTTTTAAAGTTTCTCTTTCTCTCTGTTTATAGGATTATGGTACCTCGGTCCGCCCATCGCTCTGTCCTTCCTTCCAGCTGTAAACTTCACAGAGTTGAAAACAGCAGTCACCTCTTTCGCATCACTTCCTCCACTCCCTTCTCTCCCATCTCTTCCCTCTTTCCCAGCATTCCCTTCTTTCACAAAAGAGCCACTGGTTGAAGAACAACACATCCCACCCCCGGTCATCTCACAGGTAACAAACCAAGACCAGTCGGTATAGAATGATCTTGAGTCAAATCTGATATTTATTCATTCAGCAAAAATACATGAATTTTAATCAAAATCTAATCGGTACACTTTCAGGCTGCATCAGAATCTATTAACAGCGAGCGTTTGGCTCGGCTGGAGCAGCGTGTGGCGGCGCTGTGGGAAAGCATCCAGCAGGGGGAGCTGAAAGCCAAGCAGCAGCATGAGGAGGCCGTGGGTTTGGTTCAGGCCCTTCAGGACCAGATGAACACACGAACCGACAGAGAGAGTCTCAGCCTGTGGGTCTCACAGCTCCTCGAGCCCAAGTTCACCACACTTAAGGGAGAGATTGAGAGAGAAGCGGTCAGCAGGGCGGAGGTCGGAATGTTTGCTTATGTTTTACTTATGCTTTACCCATTAGGTTTCATATTCTCTTCTAGGTTGTTTTCTTTGTTCTGATCTTTAGTTATATTCACTTCAAAAATTATCACTAAAAAGTAAATATTTTACGGGACCGTCCTGCTTTTAATGTTATGATTCAACAATTTCTTTAGAAATTTCATTATTAGATGTTTTTCCTTTAAAAAAAAACAAAGACTTAAACTTAAAAAATGTATAATTAGATATTTTTCTTTTTAAAAAATCCTGGGAATTTTTTGTCAAATTCTATCACACAACAAAATGAAAGATTTTATGTAGTTATTGTAATATTAAGAAGTTTATTTATTGCCATGAATATAATCTTTGAAGCTGATATGACTTTGGAAAAAAGTAAATAAATAAGTAAAAAATATAATGGAACACAGTTTTTTCTTCTTTTTTTCTTACACTTTTAATGTTTACAGTCCTGCTTTTAATGTTACTTGGCAACAATTTTATTCAGAAATTTCATTCATGTTTTTAAAAGATATTTCCCTGCGAAATATTTGTTACTTCTCTATCAAATATTAAATAAAATATTTTGTAGTTGGTATCATAATATTATTTATTGTTTTATTTTTACTCTCACGATGTCTTCCAGACTGAGGAACAGCATGTGCAGCATCAGACGAGTCTTGAAGCTCGACTAGCCGAGCTGGAACTCCTGCTGAAGAACCTGAACTCTAGAACTGAGGTATATCACACACTCTCACGCTTTTACGACTTTCAGGTCTTTTCCTTCAGGTGAAATTACTGAAATTACAGTTTAGAGATTGTTCTCCCATGTCCTCCGACTCAGTAAGTTGATCAATATAATCCTTTATAATATATAATCCTTGCCTGATTATAAGTACTAATTTATTTTTCAAAAATCTTACTATTTCTAAACTTTTGAATTCCACAATTTCTTTTCATTCTAGCACCTGTAACAAAAAAACTATTGAAAATTTAATTTAAAAAAAACAAACAAAAAAAGTATTGATCCTACTCATTCATCTAATTTTGTCTCAATTTTCTTCTCAATCAAAGGAAATCCATCTAACACAGCAGACTCCTGTACAGGCTCCTGTCAGGTAGACATGCTAATAAATCACCAGCAAAAGCAGTTGTTTTTGGCACTTCCTGTCTCAGAGTTAATGTTTGCTCTTGTGTTTCACACTGCAGTGTTGGAGTCTCTCAGGAGAAGCATGATGCCTTGCTCTCTGAGGTTCAAAGGTTGGAAGCAGAGCTAAGCCGCATCAGAGGAGACCTGCAAGGGGTGATGGGATGTAAAGGGAAATGTGACCAACTCGACACCATACATGAAACCGTATGTAATGTTTATATGGCACATAATACATTTGTCCTGCTTTTTTCACTTATATATATATATATATATATATATATATATCAAATTTCTTCCCCAGGTGTCAGCACAGGTGAAAGAACAGTTGTATGTGCTGTTGTACGGTCGTGACGGAGGTGAAGCAGAGATCCCTGAGCCCCTGCTGCCATGGCTGGCATCTCAGTACATGCGCTCTTCTGACCTCACTGCGACCCTCATGACCCTGGAGCGCAGCATTCTGGGAAATCTGTCCCTGCAGCTGCAGGAGAGCAAGCAGCAGCAGTTCTCATCTGAAACAGTTACTCAGACTGTTGCCCACACCGCCGGGGCTGCTGGGATATCAGAGGAGGTACAACCACTGTTGTTTTAGTATACACTAGTGTTCAAAAGTTTGGGGTCAGCAAGCATACATTAAATTGATCAAAAGTGACAAAGACATTTCTAATGTTACAAAAGATTTATTTTTCAAATAAATACTGTTCTTTTGAACTTTCTATTCCTCAAAGAATCCTGTAAAATATGTGTCACCGTTTCCACAAAAATATTAAGCAGCAAAACTGTTTTCAACGTTGATAATAATAGACCAATTTGCAGTAGACGTCACAGTTATGTCACTTGCAGCTGCGCACGCATTGTGGTGGCTGAAAAACACTGGGAACAAGTGGAGGGAATCGGGTAAAATCCATGGAATAAAAAAAAAATGTCTTGTGTCTTTGGAAGTCAGAATGGGAATGCAAATAAATTTTATAGAATACTATCTTCAAAGATGCATTTGAAGCTAAACGCAGACGTTTAAACAGACAAACTGTGGATGAAACCTGCTATGATTAACCTACTTTTAAAGCATAAATTTGATTTAAACAATAGGTCTACATAATATTCACATATGCAGTTCATAGGGGACATACTGTAATAGCCCTACAGTTACAGCATGAAATACTATTTAAACCTATAACATTTTACATAACATTGACCTATTTTATCTCACAATTCTGACTTTTTTTCTCGCAAATGCAAGTTTATATCTCCTAGTTCACACTTTATAACTCAAGTTAACTCAACAATTGCAAGTTTGTCAATTCTGAGGGGGGGAAAAAGCCAGAAGTGTGGGATTCTAAACCGAGGGGAAAAGAGAGAATGACCAGTCGATTTTTCTTATCAGAATTGTGAAATATATTCTCGGAATTGCAAGAAAAAAGTCAGAATTTTGAAATATAAACTCAAAATTACCTTCTTCTTTTTAATTTTATTCCATGGCTTCCGTAGACTGCTACTTTAAAACTGTAATTTTCTGCCACCAGATAGGCTGTTTGCAAACACCAAATTGGGCTATAAGTTTCTTGAGCATCAAATCATCATATCAGAATGATTTCTGAAGGATCATGTGACACTGAAGACTGCAGTAAAATTCAGCTTTACATCACAGGAATAAATATATATTAAAATGGAAAATAGATCTTTTAAATAGTAATAGAATTTCATAATATCTACAGTTTTTACTGTATTCTTGATCAAAATTTTTAAATATAAACTCAAAATTACCTTCTTCTTTTTTATTTTATTCCATGGCTTCCATAGACTGCTACTTTAAAACTGTAATTTTCTGCCACCAGATAGGCTGTTTGCAAACACCAAATTGGGCTATAAGTTTCTTGAGCATCAAATCATCATATCAGAATGATTTCTGAAGGATCATGTGACACTGAAGACTGCAGTAAAATTCAGCTTTACATCACAGGAATAAATATATATTAAAATGGAAAATAGATCTTTTAAATAGTAATAGAATTTCATAATATCTACAGTTTTTACTGTATTCTTGATCAAATAAATGCAGCCTCGGTGAACATAAAAGACATCTTTAAAAAACTTTAAAAAATCTTACTAACTCCAAACTTAAAAGGGAAATGTTGCTCTTTTAAAATGGACTCGCTAACATCACATCTTAACTAAAATGTCAAGTTCATTACACATCAAATAACAACCAATATGTTAGAATATGAATGGCATGATCTTATGCAAGTGTGAATAAATTGTGTGAAGAATGAACAAATTGAAATTAATTTAATGGGCCATATTTGAGGAAACAGATTTTTTTTTCTTTGTTAACATGCCAATGCCATTTAAATCTCTTTTCTAATAACAACCATGTTTCCCCTCAATTTCCCAGCAAGTCCAGCTGATCGTCCAGCGCGCGCTGAAGCTGTACTCTGAGGATCGCACCGGACAGGTGGACTACGCTTTGGAGTCTGGAGGTAAGCATGTCTACAAAACACATACATATGAACATCACTGGCCCTTCAAAGAGGTTTTGACGTGAGACCCATGTGTGTGCAGGTGGCAGTATCCTCAGCACCCGCTGTTCTGAGACATACGAGACTAAAACAGCACTGATGAGCCTGTTTGGAATCCCGCTGTGGTACTTCTCGCAGTCGCTGTGTGCAGGTGGCAGTATCCTCAGCACCCGCTGTTCTGAGACATACGAGACTAAAACAGCATTGATGAGCCTGTTTGGAATCCCGCTGTGGTACTTCTCGCAGTCGCCACGTGTCGTCATCCAGGTAAAACCTTGAATTACACACTTTTACTGAACTAGCATCATACGTAACTATATGTAAGACCCCGATGTTTGATGTGAATTTCTGTCTGCCTTGTAGCCGGACATGTACCCAGGAAACTGCTGGGCATTTAAAGGCTCCCAAGGTTATCTGGTGATCAGGCTCTCTTTAAGCATGATCCCTACCTCCTTCTGCCTGGAGCATATTCCCAAAAGCCTCTCTCCCTCTGGAAACATTAGCAGCGCACCACGACGATTCTCTGTCTATGTAAGAATGTGCACTTATGTCTGATGTATGAGCATGTGCTCGCATATATTTATGGCTATTTATGCTTAACCCAATGAGTTTTGTGCTAAGAAGTGGTGTATAGCCCCATGTTGTGCAATATGTAAGTCTTGCTGTCTGCGTTTGAAGGGGTTGGACGATGAATACCAGGAGGAAGGGAAACTGCTGGGTGACTACACTTATCAAGAAGATGGAGAATCAATCCAGACCTTCCCAGTTATGGTAAAATATGTGCATCCGGAATATGCAGAATCGCCGAATCCAGTCCTAAAAATGGAATTTACTGTATAACATGGAATGTTACGGGATTTGGCCAAAGTCTGATGAATAGATCAAAAGTAGGGCTGTACATTTAAACAAATCACGATATGGACTAGTGTCTGTAAATAATATTAGAGCACAATATTCTGTGTGAATGAGCGCTACAGTTTCGTCTGCTACAAATACTCAAGCACGCGTGACACTTGTAGTGTTTTTTCAGCTATATGAGGGAATGAACACATGAACTTCATCTCCAGAGCAGCTCTGAGAGTCACTTCACCAGCATTTCACCATTTCATTAGAGAAAACTATAGTATAGACTGATTAAATTATATGAATAGACTGATTAAATTGTTAAAATTGAATGCATTCATTTTATTATCACTGTTTTTGATAATACATATGTAATAACACAGAATTCAGAAAAATGAAAAGACAACACAGAACTTCTGAAATTAGTAAACACATTTAATAGGGCACTATTAAATACACTCTTAATTTTAATAAATATTCATAAAACATTAACAATTGAATAATCTAATTAGACATCCTTTTTGGCTAATAAAATTTAATATTAAACATATAAAACGGGAAAAAAAACACAGTTTGGGAAAATAAATAAATAAAATGGAATTTGAAAATAAAATGAGGATGTTCCAAAAGGTAGGCAGCAGCTGTAAAAATAGTTCAATATAATTAAACATTCACCTTTTAACCTATTATTTGTGTGTTATTTGTTTCTTTGTGCTTATTGTCGTTAGCTTGGCAACATGCAGTTCACTTTCTGGCCAAATTCAGCGTTGCATGTGTAATTTTCAGAGAAGGCTATCCCAGAATGGATTGCAGCAAGCTAGTAAAAAAAAATTGGAGAAAAAAAAGTGTTGTTAGCAACTTGCTACTGCCAAAATCTGTTGGAATACATTGTAAATTGCATGCACTTTATGTTCCATACCAGTCATTTATGTAGTTTAATTTTAGTTATGTTGCTTACTAGGTTTTGGAATAGAGCTACATGACCACGTTTCATTTTGCCTTTTTTGTTTTTTCTAGGAGAAGAATGACAAGGCCTTTCAGATCATTGAGATGCGAGTGCTGTCGAACTGGGGTCATCCCGAATACACCTGCCTGTATCGCTTCAGAGTTCACGGCAAACCTCACACTCAGTAATCAGGCCTCGCTGTACATTACTATATAACCCTTTATGTACATACAGGAAACGCTCGGACTTTATTGCAGCACGGATGAAACTGGGCTTGCAAGCTACATTTTTAAGACTTTAATACGAATGATGGACAGAGTTACAGAGTTATGGAACTCGAAACAAAGAGTTACAAGGAGCACAGTGGGAAAGAGCAATGTGTTTAAGCTAAAGGATTCCCACTCATTTCCTTCCCAAGTCCCTGTTCTTGCACTGATTCATGCCCTTTCGGCTGGGCCCTGTGTTACGCTCCTGCCCCCATGCGCTCTCACCCGTAGAGGTATCTGTGCCTTCAGACAGAACATGCTTCTCTCATTCTGTGTACATTGTTTTGTTTTTTTCCTTTGTTTTCTGAATGTACAGAGAGGTGTGAGGTTCAGGACACACTAGTGTAAGTATCCAAGCTTGACTTCAGCCTCGTCCACTGGTCTCTGCCGCTTTAACTAGTCTGCAAGGTCGCAGAGAGTGCCCATCAGCTAGAAGAGGGAGTATTTGTTGGTTTAAAACCTTTACCACTGCTAAACCGCTAAATCCCACAAAATCTGATGAGATCATGTCTGGATCAGATTTCATCCCAAATAATTTACGAAACAAATCCTATTTTAGGGTTACTTGGAGAGCTTTCTCATTATTATTATTATTATTAATGCAAAAAAAAAAACATTGTTACATTTTAACATTGTAATAGCATTTGCTCAACTGCTTTTTAATTTGTACTCATTAGATTTTTTTTTTTATTATTGTAATACAGTTAAAAAATATTGTAATACAGAAATATATATATATAATTTTTATTATTATATTTTTTTTTTAAATATATATATATATATATATATATATATATATATATATAGGGTAGAATATGACCCAGACAAGTTTTCACCCAACAGGCACTTCGTTTAATGCTTTTTAAGGGGATTTTTATTTTATTTTCTCTCATAACAGCCATAAATTGCAGGACACTAGTTTGACTTCAGATGGTTTTCCAGAGAAGGGAATGGATGTTTAAGGACCGCATGTGGTCTAATATGTGTACATTTGAACAAAACTGGACATAAAACACTCACTCAGTTGTTTGTTTCTCATAAGTAGTCATATCAGTCACGATACTCTGCAGGAATGTAACTTATTGTAATTAGACCTTTTTAATCGACTTATATCAGTGTTTATTTTACATAAAGGGGTGCGCCCTGTCATCATCATCATTTTCCTTTTTATTGTGTTTTTAAGCATTTTAGTTAAAGTAGACAATGCACTGTTATGTCTTTATAAAGGAAATGTAAGTTGCACAAGTCCTATGTGATTCATTGGATATGTTTAAGAAGTCAGGGTTTGGTTTATAGAGCCGCATCGTCAACGCTGTGTTGACCTAAAAGAGTTGTTATAGGTTTGTAAAATACTATTGATTTGTTCATCACTATTTATTTTATGGAAATTTAGCTAAGAAATAGGACTTTGTGCAGTGTTTTTGTAAAATTCTATTCAGTGCATATCGGTCCTCAAATTAAATGTTGGGGTGCCATAATACATGGAGAGAAAAAAGTAGCAGACGTTTCGCCAAAGCATAAATGAATATTAAATACAAAATGATTCCTAAAATGAAAACTATAAATATATTTTATATATATATATACAATATATTTTATATATATATATATATATATATAGGGTAGAATATGACCCAGACAAGTTTTCACCCAACAGGCACTTCGTTTAATGCTTTTTAAGGGGATTTTTATTTTATTTTCTCTCATAACAGCCATAAATTGCAGGACACTAGTTTGACTTCAGATGGTTTTCCAGAGAAGGGAATGGATGTTTAAGGACCGCATGTGGTCTAATATGTGTACATTTGAACAAAACTGGACATAAAACACTCACTCAGTTGTTTGTTTCTCATAAGTAGTCATATCAGTCACGATACTCTGCAGGAATGTAACTTATTGTAATTAGACCTTTTTAATCGACTTATATCAGTGTTTATTTTACATAAAGGGGTGCGCCCTGTCATCATCATCATTTTCCTTTTTATTGTGTTTTTAAGCATTTTAGTTAAAGTAAACAATGCACTGTTATGTCTTTATAAAGGAAATGTAAGTTGCACAAGTCCTATGTGATTCATTGGATACGTTTAAGAAGTCAGGGTTTGGTTTATAGAGCCGCATCGTCAACGCTGTGTTGACCTAAAAGAGTTGTTATAGGTTTGTAAAATACTATTGATTTGTTCATCACTATTTATTTTATGGAAATTTAGCTAAGAAATAGGACTTTGTGCAGTGTTTTTGTAAAATTCTATTCAGTGCATATCGGTCCGTTTATATTTAGTTTTGTTAGTTTTTGTTGTTGTTATAAAATGGCTACAGTACTATGAGTTGTACCAGTAAATAATTTTAATTTTGAGGATATTTGTAGTATTCTTTTTATTTATTTATTTTTATAATTGAAGTGTGGATTAAAAATTGAGTGGTTAAAATAAGTTTGAAAAAAGTAACTTTTTTTATTTTTATATATATCTATATATATATATATTATATATATTACCTTTTTATGTTTTATGGCAGAAAAAGTCACAAGTTTGGAATTGCAAGACGGTGAGTATTATCAGTAATTAGTTGTAGATAATTTTTTATATGGTAATTGGCTATTTGACATAAATGTTTAATGAGGTCATATACCCTTAATAAACAAATAATTGGCAGAGCCTACAGAAAATTAGGAAGAACCCCTGAGCCCCACTAAATTGGAGTTCCAGAAATGAGCTATTCTGCATTTTGAAACCAATTTTATGTAATGTTATTTTTTTTTATATTTTATATAATATTTTACTTCATTTCAAGTAACGAAAATGTTTTTATGGTATCAGCTTTAGTGTGTGTATATATATATATATATATATATATATACTTTAGTAATTGAGTGCGTCTAATGAAACGTACGCACTACGCAGTCTACCAGTAGTGGCCACTAGAGTGCAGCACAGTCAGGCTGCTGTTGTCCTCAATGTGCGTGGTTGCCCTATATGTGGGTTGTGACCTGCAATGTTCTCAAATTCACATTATTTATTGATATTTTATGCGAAGCTGCGCATGAGCCTGTGCTATAAGCGCCAAATACTTTCTTCTGGTCATGCACCTTCCTTCGTTCATTCCACGGTCGCGCGCCGAAGTGAACTTATGTTAGTAATTATAATACCATAACAAAACGGTGCTTTCGCGCTTTCCATTGCAATAAGTATGTTATTGCAAGTGCTATAATTATGTACTTGTCGATTTAATTAATTTTTTTAATGTATAACAAAACCATATCGTCTTGTTTAAGGTTTTATATATGTATATCATTTGTAAAATAATAGCTCCTGCCGCCAAACTTCAATTTAAAGCGTCGCGAAAGACGAGCCTCGACAGATTACGCCTTAAAAAAGGGTTTTACTTTTACATTCGGTAGTTCAGCAGACGTTTAAAATTCATTCAAATGCCCAAATTCCCTTTAATATCAATAACTGTAATTCGCACAGTGTTTAGCCTATGTTCTACACACTTTTCATTTTTAAAGTCGTTGTTTACACATATTGCCTATATATATATATATATTCATGAGGGACACAGAAGCCTCCTTTTTCGCGTAGCGACCCAAAAGCATCGCTGCAGCGGCTCTTTAGGCCACACTTCTCTGCGCTTTTCTGTTGTAGCTGTTAATGGGCGGTCTTATTCCACGCCACGCAGTTTCTAAGTGGACCGCGGCACCAGTTGCGTTCCTCTCTCCGTGGGCAGAATGTCTCATGGAGGAGTTTGGGATGCGTCTGTGAACATCCACAGGTAACGTTAGTTACACAGGCTGCTTTCGCCGGCTAATACATTTTTCTCGCAGAAGCATATCATCGATTTGGAAACGATTCTTCTGCTTTTTGTCTATTATAACTAATGCATTGAGTCGGATACTTGCATGCATATTTTGTAAAACACCGCGGACTGTGCAATAACCCACATAGAACCTTTGCTTGCAAACCTCTGCATTAAGTTTTCGAACAATCAAAAATAACGCTTGGAATTGTATTGCAAGTTTGGATGTGAAGGCAAGAGCGGGATACAATGGCAAGCGATTTGAAGCCTCGGTTGTGTGTGATGAAGAAAGGAGAGAACGGCTACGGGTTTCATCTGCACGGAGAGAAAGGAAAAACCGGACAGTACATACGGAAAGTGGAGCGCGAGTCCCCAGCTCAGTCATCCGGACTGCGCGCGGGTGATCGTTTGGTGGAGGTGAACGGCGAGAACGTGGAGAGAGAGACACACCATCAGGTACATCACACCTGTGCTGATCTCGCATCTAACACCCTCATAACAGTTCTCATTACACTGGCCATCATGCATGTTTTTGTTGTTATGCCATTTATAGTGTAGCTACCTAGCTATTAATAACACCAATGTGAAAAAAAAATGTTCTGAGATCATTAAATAATAAACATATTTAGTTTATAAGTTATATACTAACGTTTAAAAGTTTGGGGTCAGTAAGATTTAAAAAAAAACAAAAGTAATAAAAACAACAACAATAGCAAGGATGCTTTAAATTGATGATGAATTGAACTGTTTTCAACATTGATATTAATAAGAAATGTTTCTTGAAGCCACAATCAGCATATTAGACTGATTTCTGAAGGATCATGTGACACTGGAGACTGAAGTAATGATGCTGGAAATTCAGCTTTGCATCACAGGAATAAATCACATTTTTAAATATTTTACAATATTACTGTTTTTACTGTATTTTGATCAAACAAATGCTGCCTTGGTGAGCAGGAGGAGCAAGGAGATCTAGTCTTTTTTTTTTTACTTTTAAAAAATCGACTGACCCCAAACCTTTTAAACAGTAGTGTATGTTAGTCATGCTCTAAAAGCGTTTTGATCTAGCATGCGTGTAATTCTTGAAATTAGTTTTGTTTACAAATGTAAATTGACTATGAATTCCTTAGAAAACCTACATTTTATGCACTGGATGAGTTGAAGGGGGAAAAAGCGGGATGCTCCTCATGATGTCTGTTCATGAATGTCAGGATTGAGCACAGTTGTGTTTCAGTCACTGTATCATTCCCATAGTGCCATTTGTGTTACTTCATTCAATGACTACTGTTATTCTAAATGTATAAAAACTGATATTCTAATGTGTCAGTGTGTCCAACCTTTCCACTGGTAGTGTGTATATACAGGCCTGTATAAACAGCAGAGAGTGTCTTTGAAACATTTGACATCCGTTTATTTGAGGTAAGAAGGTTTTGGCTTTGGAAATAACTTTGCATGGAAAATAAATTGCACTGCATGTCAAAAAACGAATTAAACCCAATTTCCGCCACAGAATATAAAAAATGCTAATTGCAATATTTTATCTCACAATTTGGACTGTTTCTCACAATTATAAGAAAAACAAGTCAGAACTGTGAGATGTAAACTCAGGATTCACACACTGAGTTTACATCTCACAATTCCAGTTTACATTTTACAATTCTGAATTTACGTCTCACAATTCAAACTTTTCTTCTCGGAAATCTCAATTCTGTTTTTTTTTTTTTAACAAAATAAAAAAGGTAATTGCGACTTTTTACCTTACAATTATGACTTTTTTCTCACAATTGCAAATTTATATCTCGAAATTCAGACAAAAAAAATCTTGAGATCTTTTTTTTTTTTTTTTCCTGTGGCAGAAACAAGCTTCCATAGAAACCTGTTGTGAAACTCTGACTTAAGTGGAAAATGTTCTTGTGAATAAACAATGAAATTCCATGCATATCTTTAGTTGCTCTGACTCTCATAGAGTGTTGAACAGCTGGAGGCTTCACAGCATTACAGCAGGAGACCGTATGACCAGATCTGTCTTTCTGCTCAGATGTACTAACATGATGCATATGTTAAAGTCTTGGTATTTTGGCGTGTATGCAGTTCCAGTTTTGACAGGAGGATCAAATAACACGGTGTGAATGTAAGTGCAGTGGAAAGCACATCTCTTAGAGCTCATCCTATAGTTTTGCTTTCTCTTGCGCTCAGGTGGTGCAGCGGATCAAAGCCGTGGAACATGAGACCAGACTGCTGGTGGTTGATCGAGAGACTGACGAGTACTTCCGCAGCCTGCGTCTCACCTGCACGGAAGAAATGGCCATCCGGATGAGTCCTGCAGCCACGACCCCGTCTCCCTCACCGTCCACCAGTAAACAGGGCAACGGCTCGGTGTCCAAACGACTTGAGATATCCAAACCCATCAGGAAACCTCCGTCACGAGCTCCTAAGAAGGTATGGATCCATTCGCTATCTGCCGACACTAGGTGACTTAATTTCTTCAGTAGAACAGTAAAGAAGATTTTTAGCTGAAACCGTGGTCCTTGGTGATTCATAAAAAGCAAGTCAGCAGCTGTCCATTTTTAAAAATAAAAAAACAGCATATCAAGGAACTCAAAATTAATACCTGTGGCTCCTGACGATATATTGAGATCTTATGAAGCGAAATGATCAGTCTGTGCAAGATACTGAACATTATTTACAAGATTACCTGTAATCCAGAGCCTCAGACAAATGGTCTGGAGTGATGCCCGAATTAATCATTCTTTTTAACCAGTTCTTTTTGCTGAACTAGTCGAACCAGTTCACCAAATCAAACTGAACCATCTGAAACTGTTCGTGGCTCAAGTTACTCAATCAAAACTCACTTACGACAGTGCCTGACAGTCACTCCGAATGAGCTAAAATACTGGCATGTATCCTATGTTCCTGCTTTTTGCCAACTCATTCAGTGCTCCAGTTCTTCCAGCAGTCACTGAACGGAGGAAACCGTTCCGACTCAGAACGAAGCCCGATGAGCCAGTGATATGTGCGTACGTGAACCCAGCACTTGAAGATTTTATGGTTTCTCTTTGTTTATGTAAAAATGTGAGCTGATGAAGACTAGTTTATTCACTTTATATGCATCCATGTTTTACATCATTATCGGGTGCTTTAATAATGGCGTAATCATTGCGTGATTACATAAACAAACTAGTGAATTGAATTGTTTCATTGAAACTTACTGACAGAACCAGTTCATGGAAAATAATTGAAATTCCCTGTTGCCTGAAGTTATGGATTACAGCTTATAATGTCATAAATAATGTTCAGTTTCTTGGACAAAGCGATCGTTTCGCTTCATAAGACCTCGGTATATCGTCAGGAACCACGGGTATTCATTTTGTGTTCCTTTATATGCTTTTTTTTTATTCCCAAAGACGGGCAGTCGCCGACTTGTATTTTATGAATCATCAAGGACCACGGTTTCAGCTAAAAATCTTCTTTACTGCTCTACTGAAGAAAAAAAGTCATCTACATCTTGGAGGTCGAGTAAACTAACAGCAAATTTTGATATTTGGATGTACTATCACTTTAAGAACTTTTCACTGAACGGTTCTTTGGGGGAACCCAAAAATGGTTCTTCTGACATCACTTTTGGAACCTTTGTTTTTAAGAGTGTAGAACCTTTCAATTAACCCACATTGTCAGCCCTTCTCTCTCACATGAAAAATAAATGCATGTCTTCAGGTCATGAACATCTGGATGTTTTAGGACAGCTGGCCTGAGTGACGTCACCAGAGTTATATCTAGTTCTCACAGACTGTTTTTTAGAGGTTATTGATTAGTTTTTCCTATTAAGTCTCAGAGAAAGTGTGTTTGGTCATCATGTATGCTGCCATAATCATGGATTAATGGGTTAGTTTGTTGAGTTTAAGACAATAATGAGTTATGTGAGTAACTCAGATGTTATCTTGTTGGCTCTGTCATGGTTGGTCAGTGTCCAAGATGTGACGCTGTAATGGTTTTGTAGTAAATGTGCTGCTCTGTGTGCATGTGTGAGTTTCTCCAGTACATTATTACCATGTTTCCCACGGCTTATTCATTTAGGAAAATCAGTCTCTGGATTTTGACCTTTACAAGGATGAATGATTCCGTCCAGGAATTTCTTCAGTGATTGTTCCACTAATTTTTTTTATTCCTGAAACATCAGCACCATATATTCATTTCAATTAAAGTTTATTTTGTACAAAGTACATATTGTTTCAACTCATATGCTGTGTATACATACTACTTTTACTTGAAGTGAATTCGTTTTCGGTTTGCATTAATAACACCTTTACATTCTCAGATTTTAGCACATTGCTACAGTATGTGGTTGCTAGGGATGGTTGTTAGGATGTTCTGAATGAGTGTTATGGGTGGTTGCTAGGGTGCTCTGGGTGGTTGCTAAGTGGTTGTTTATGTGCTCAAGTCAAAAGTGCCTACACAAAATCTCAGATTCAGGTTTTTTTTTTACCCATTTTAAGTTTTCCAGGCAAAATGGCTTAGTCTGATGAGATAGAGAAGCACTAGCACATCTCTCCTCAACAAGCCACATGATTTGAGGAATCGTTTATGTCTGTAGCACAAGCATTTCTGGACAGGTTAATTGCTGAAGTGTATAATACTAAATATTATATTTGTCTTTTCTTCAGCCTAATGCATACATCCAACATCTGCTCTCACTTAAAGCCCACTTTCCAAATGGGTTTGTATAATTCACTGCTGTTTCAACAAGATGGAGTGGAGTGGGAAAGATAGAGCATGTGAGCGGGTGTGTGTTACAGCCACATGTGTGTGATAATGTTAAATATGACATTAAAACCGTTAACATCGCAGCAGCCCACTGGGTCAAAACCGAACGGTTTCTGATATCCATCAGATGATGAACAGAGGAGAGCTGATCATCAGAAGTTTACACAGGACAGCATCTGCAAATCTGAGCCTTCGCTGGTAAAGCACTTGATTTTACTCACAGATTTAGATTCCTTTTTGGCAATCCAACTCAAGTTGAATAAAATGCGAAGAGAAATCTTGGAAGATGAAAGTAGGATGTAGTAAAAATGTTTAATTTCACCCCAAAATCATCCTTTTTTTCTTTTGATTTTTGGAGTGATGTATGTATGACCTGAAGATGTTCTTGATGGTGTTTAAATCACTCATATGTGGTTCTTGAGTTGCTTTATGGTACGTTGGAGATTAAAAAGTTCTTAAAGTGGTCATATGATGTTGCTAAAAAGAACATTATTTTGTGTATTTGGTGTAATGAAATGTTTATGTGGTTTAAGGTTCAAAAAACACATTATTTTCCACATACTGTACATTATTGTTTCTCCTCTATGCCCCGCCTTTCTGAAATGCATCGATTTTTACAAAGCTCATCGGTCTGAAAAAGCGAGGTGTGCTGTGATTGGCCAGCTATCCAGTGCGTTGTGATTGGCCGAATACCTCAAGCGTGTGACAGAGATGTTACGCCCCTTGCCATATTGTGATGCCCTGTCCGGCTGGAGCGATTATTCAAAAACATGAAAACCCATTATAAACGAGGCATTTGT